ACGAAAGGCGTGAGGCTCAAGCTCAGTTTCAGTTATTTTGAATTAAGCCACTTTGAACAGTATTTTAGCGTGCAAGCTAATGTGTGAGGAATAGCAGAGGTGGTGCAGACGTTTACAACTATAGTAAAACTCGTAGCATTCGGGCTAGCGCAAGGGACAGCTCTTCACAGGGCTTAGCCGAATGGGTCATCCGTCCGTTGTAGCATGTCTAGAATGTCTGGAATGTGAGGGACGGTCGGGTAGCCTAGTGGTTCGATTCCCGACATGGGTACAATGTATGAAGCCCATTTCTGGTGTCCCCCGCCGTGATATTGCTGGAATATTGCTAAAAGCGGCGTAAAACCATACTCACTCACTGGAATGTGAATGTTGCCTGCAGTTTGTGAGGTCACTTACTCAACATATTCACATTCTGTGTCCCACAGTGTTGACTTACTTGACTTACCCACAGTGGTGTTCACAAGGAGCGAAACCTGGTGACATTAGCTTCACGTTATATACACATTTTACACTTTGACCCTATACTATTCATCATAAAATTTAAATTCGTTCGTTTTGTTGTTTGACGTGAAATTGTATATTTTGGGCGAATTTAATCCTCTGGCGTTCTCGGTTGTATCGCTTCATATGGGCGATGGGCTGAATGACAACAAACATGTTTTTGGAGCGAACTGAATCATAATAGTTTGAATAATATAATAGGTAAGTTTTATCATACTTATCATACGGCGATATTTAGTATATACAAGGGTGCACGGGTGGCCCAGTCGTCTAAGGCGCCGCGATTCGCTGTGCAGAGTTGCGTCCCTTGGGCACGCCAGAAATCTATGATTGTGGGTTCGAATCCCGGTTCGCCCCAATTATGTTTCTAGGTTTGTCAGCACCATACCCGTGCCCGTGGGTTTCACCGAAGTGGTAAACGTCTGTGACCTGCATCACTTCGGGCTTTCCTCCCACATTAAGCTGACACGCCGCGATATAACTGGAATACTGTTAAAATCGGCGTTAAACCCAACTCACTCACTCACTCACTAGTATATACAAAGCAGAAGGTCAAGCCATTTATACATTAACAAAATGCATTAAAACTAGTCCTTCAAGAAATGTCAATATGCTGTAGGATTCAGTGCCCATGAACAACTGTCTGTTTGTGTAACTCGGTCGAGGTACGACTGAGTGGATAAATGTCATGTTACGCAGTATTACGAAAATACCACTTCAAAGAAACAAATTCTACTCGTAGATTCACGCTGAGAGCGTAATACCACCTATTCAGTGAATACTTGCAGCCTTTGAGAGGTGAGGAAATACTGATTCTCTCCCTAATTCTGTAACTTTTTCAGGGGGCACGGGTGGCCCAGTCGTCTAAGGCGCCGCGATTCGCTCACTCACTCACTTTCACATTTTCAACATTCAATAAAGGTCAGATAAACCGTCATTCCGAGTAGGTTACTCTAAAATACACATCGTCTATTTTTTTCTGAGAAAATGGAGCAATATCTATATGAGACGTAGATAATCACTCAATCTATTTCTGAAAGAAGTGACATCAAACAGTCTGTGACGTCTTTGATATATGATCGTCTTTAACCATTCTCGACGATGCGGTGATATGTGTCGTTGGTATGGGCCGCTTCGCTAACAATGTCACCAACGACGTGAATTAGCTAGTCAGAATGAATAACAAAACAATGCTCAAGATAATATATTGTCAATAATTGCACCAATACATTTGCCCCTAAGGGCAATACCAGGATACATCAGCGTAACACGGAGTTATAGTTGGCTGGACTAACGAGTGAATGCATAGTCCATTCAAAAACCTCGTAACGAAATCGACAGCCGGTTCGTAAACGACTTTGATCGATTTCAGGATTTGAAAGCATGTGTACCGTCGATTGGGCGTCGTTAGATATTAATCAAATATTTTCAAGTATTTTAAATAAAGGTCCTTAGTTTGATGCACTTCGCGAGGTAAGACCCTTTTTATTACAATACAGATGAGATCGTCTTGATGACTGGGCGCAGCGATTTTCTTTTAAAAATGGACTTCTATAGCCAGCTTATTAAAACTCCCTTGACTCGCGAAGATGGTCATTGCTGATAATTTGAGCAACAGTCCATGCCATTGACGTACGATGTCACGTAGTGCAACCACGTAAGCCCAGTTGACATAGGGTACTCTCCAGAAAGACGCCTTATCGTACGGCTATGGTAACATATGGGGCTTGAGGTCATATCAGCGCGAAGATTGCTTTGAAAAACGTTGCTACGTTCTGTCCAGGAGTCCCCGTGGTGTGGTTGTGATACGAACTTACTGTAGTGACGCACACAGATAACGCATAATCAACGCAACATCGGACAAGCCTCGAAACACGCCGAACGACATTGTTGTCATATTTCCTAATGCTTAAATACACAGAACAACTTTATTTGATTGGTGTAGCCATCGTGACTAATATTACAAAAATAATCGACAATGCTTATTCAAAGTGTGTTTGATATTATGACTGAACTTTCACTATGTGTTTAAACCAAGGCAAGTGATGTCAAGTTATGCAGCTAATAGGTTTCGTCCTAGACTAACATTTAGTCTATGAAATCTGTCATTACACAATACCCCTCTCGACTCTAAAATTAAAAATAAAAATTAAAAATTTCCCTATGCTGTGGAATAGAGCTAGCTAGAGCTGGCTTGACTTGCTTTGGTATACGTTTCTAGACTGGTGTTTTTTTCATAAAATATATATATTCCACAGTCATGGTGCAGGACTAGTTTCGTCCATATACAATCATATGCAACTGCATGTAGAGTTGTACTTACAACTACATGTGTCTGTAAAATGGGAGTAACTGGGTGAGTGCTCAATTTGAATCTATATGGGGAATCGATCCCGGGGCTTCGACGTCACGAACGAATGCTTTACCCAGAAGGTCACCACCGACCTATACGTGGTTAGTTGTCAGATCAAAGTGGTGTTTTCAAAATCCGAGTCAGGAGTATGGTCAGGACGCCTCACCCTGACTTGCATATTTTCCGCACCGAAATTTCCCACCCCTTCATTGATTAAAAACTTGTAATGTTTGCTTAATAGCTGGGACGAAAAGAAAAGGTTGTCTTTAGCTATCCAGGTCATTAACTGGGATCAGTTACACATTTCCTGTTATCGATATGTATTCGTTGTGGACAGTATATGTTGTGATCTGTAAATTGTGTTTGTTTGGCATACATATATTCTTTAGATTAAGTGTGGGGGCGGTCGGGTAGCCTGGTGGTTAAAGCGTTCGCTCGTTACGCCGAAGACCCGGGTTCGATTCCTGACATGGGTACAATGTGTGAAGCCCATTTCTGGTGTCCCCCGCCGTGATATTGCTGGAATATTGCTAAAAGCGGCGTAAAACCATACTCACTCACTAGATTAAGTGTGTACATGTTAACTTATTTGATCAAGTTAGTCGTAATTGTATGAATTTTCGCATTAAAAAAATGACCCGAAACATGACGTGTAATTCTCACGTATGTGTATTTGCACAGGCAGGTACACGTAAATAAGATGTTTGAACAGGTAACGCCCTCTACCGAGCAAGTGGATACAGGCCAATGGGGTTACAACTGTTGGTCATCAGATAAGATATGAATGTGCACAGTATGATCACAGTTACAACTAAAAAATAAAACCAGATTAAATATCTGACGAAACAACAAAACCTCTGCGTCATTTTGTTACACATCAGCCCTCGTAATATAGGGAGGCAACTGTTGAAGGGTGCATCCATTAGGAACTTCGTCTCTGTGGAGTAAACGTAGTGGGTGAGTTTTACATTAATGTTATTTTCCAGCTTTACACCTTTTGAGTGTATATGACTATATTCCTGACAGATGACGGTACATAAATGACCGTTTGGGATTTGTTTGTTCGTCTGCTTGTTGTTTAACGCCGCACACAGCAGTATTGCAGCTATATGACGCGATCTGTTAGAAGTCGAGTCTGGACCATCCAGTGATTGACATTACCTGTTTGCACCCAAATACATACTTTTCGGAACCGTTCAGATCATCTTGCAGAATCTTCTGTATTAGCTATATGACGCGATCTGTTAGAAGTCGAGTCTGGACCATCCAGTGATTGACATTACCTGTTTGCACCCAAATACATATTTTTCGGAACCGTTCAGATCATTATCAATTATCAATCACGTAGTTCAGTTATGTAATACAACTAAAGATCTTATCATCACTAGTTTAAGATTATGACATAACATAATAATGCAAATCAGTTAAAGCTCGGCACTTAACCAGGACCGGTTTATATATTCAATATTGAAACACTCTCCATTATTATCACTGAATTGAATCTAATTTCAACTGTTGATGAGTAGAAACACATTGCATCTGATAATGTACGTGACATATGTCTACATTTATATATGCATACCAAAAGGTACACTATGTTGTTTAACTGCTTGCACAAAGATAGATGTTTGTCTCTAATGGTATTACACTGTCGCATGAAAATAATGCCACAAAACCTCCCATGAAATGTGCTAAAAATAAATGTAAGCGACACATTTCAATAATCAAATAATCTAGTTAGCTCTAAAAGCAGAGTCTATCGAACGATTCCAACTACATGTATGTCATTAGCGTGTGTTTATGTAATCTATCAAACAGCGATGATACCAGGTTTAAAGGTGAGCTTATTCTGCCACGACTGTTGCACCTGTCACAAACACATGCACGGACACGTCAATTGTTCACCTGAAAGAGCACGGGTACAAGTGGTACAAAATAACAAAAGGAATTACATTGGATATTCCTTTTTGTCACTGATGCGTCAACGTACATGAATGTGGCAAAATAAAAATACCCCACCCCCACCCCACTACCCCCCATCCCACCCCACACCTCCCCATTGTCACACCGTTTCAGCAACGTTGACACGTATGATATCACTGCACACTATATGAACAGGACTATGCATTGTGAAGGTCATACGTCGACTCTTATCGCCTGCATTAGGTCATGTTAACATCGGTCGGCGCGCCATGAAGCCAAACACTTTGTACCATTTCTTCGTTGGGAGGTTTTGTGAAAGGGGCAACATCTTGCAGAATCTTCTGTATTAGCTGACAGCAGTTGGTGAGACATTTTTATCGGTCAGTAATATGTTTCCTTAACTTCGTAGTGAGATATAGTTCTACATAATTAATCTGTAATATTATAGTTTCACGACTGGTATTAATTATTACACTGCGATTTGTTTGTCTTTCCAAGCCAAACTCTTGTGTTGCTGTGATATGTTTTTTATATCAAAAGACACGAGGGTGAGATTTTATTTCTCATCCAACATCATTCTTTCAACTTATTCAGATTGTAGACAGTAATAAGCACTTTCCACTTGCACAAAGTGATTTTAGTGGTTAGATGATCGTAACACCCATTCTTTAACATTGGCGTACAATAGTCGTAGCGCTAAGATCGCTTTGTGCAAGCGGGCCCAGTAGCAATGCCATTAGTGATGTAAGTGATGACGTCACAATGGTATGCAAAGCATTGTGATGCAATTTCGACCAAGTGATATCTCCTGTGGGGGCCAGTTTTTGATGATAAACGATGTTAAGTACTGTGGTCATTGGTTTAGTCATAACTTTAGTATGGTAAAGTGATTCTTGGCTTCCTGACGTACTTCGGCAGCTATTAAATTGTAATCGTAATTCACTTAGTTCATTTATCTTGTTCCAAGACACCATCACCAGCCATTAAGATGTCACGTTCCAAAGATGATCAGAAGCAGGATGGAAGAGGACAGATTGATTCAGTTCATGATGACGACAAAAGTAATTTCAAGACAAAGTCAGGAGAAGACTCATCGGATGGAGATTATAAACACATTCCACTGTCTTCAGCGACAAAAGTACAAGGGGATGATTCAGGAGATGTTGAGGATGGACTGTTGGGGGATGGAGGTGATGGAGGTGATGGTGGAGCAGTGGCAGGTAGTGCACGGCCTGAAGAGGATGCCGGTCTTCCCATTGACCATGGTTGGGCGTGGATGGTATTAGCAGGTGACCTTAAGTACACGCATCTTAGAATTTAAAGGATCACAGGTGAAAGATAAGTCTTCTACGAAATTTAAAGGTATGGTACGTTTATACACGGAGGAATAAATTCAGTGTGGTAAATACTGCGTATGTATATGTCTCCATGATATGACATGAAACTGAATTAATAAAATGCATCTCTTTTTTGTGCAGCAGAATCGGTTAAATATTTATGTTTGAAGAAATATTTTGTTTCACTGAGGTTGACCTATTATTTCAGGTAGTGTCCTGAATGTGTTTATGATAGTGGGATATGCCAAAGCTATTGCAATATTCTTTGTGGCATATCTGAAGGAATTCGAGGCATCTGCTGCCACAACAACTCTATTCATGGGAGTTATGGCAGGAACGTCCAGCTTATCGTGTATGTATTTAATGTACCAATTAACCGATCATTCGATGTAACTAGAAGGCAATGGAGTTGGCTGTATAGCTGATTGTACTTAAAAATATCATTATGAAAATATGTTCAAAATGATTATTTTGCATTGGCGATCGAAAACGTCCATTCACAAACATCCCATTCGCCTCCCAATTGCAACATTCCCCGTAAACTGGCTTTAAATTACCATTGATGTTACAATATAAGTTCATTTGATTGGTGTGATGTCATTATCAAGTCATTATTTTTAATCAAGGTTGTGAGTTTTGAAAATCACACTTTGTAAGAAATAATAGAGCTTTTGGTTCTCGTACATGTGCTTTGATTCCATTAGGCATGTTACGTCCGAAAATTGAATCATTCAAAACAGTTATATAATTTGATTATTTGATGAAATCGCGAATTTGGTAATCAAAGTTTCAAAACTGACTGGCAAATTTTCAGATCAAATGCATAATAGTACATCCGTGTTTGATTAGTGTCAAAAGGAAGGAATCGAATGCGGACATTCATCAAAATATCTAATCCTGTTTGGCTACCTGGCCAAATTGTGTTTTTACAGCACTCTTTTCCATGAACGTGATTCTACAACTGATTGGAGAGAGGAAAACTGTAATCATCGGTGGAACAATAGCAGTTGTAGGAATGCTGACAGCCGTGTTCGCTACCAGTATTACGTACCTCATCTGCACTCACAGCATCCTAATGGGTAGGTATTTCAAACAAAAATGAAATTGATCAAGGGCATACTTTTATAGGAATATCGGAAAATTCTATGATTGTTTTAAATAAGCAGTGGTAACAGAATCTAGATGTCTTTCCACTTCAACATACAATTGTTTATAGAGCAATTTCTTTCGTGATGATCACACAGAGTTTGATGGTTTAGTACAAAAAAGAATAAACTAAATTTTCAAGATTTTAATATGCATTCAATTTCAGGTATAGGTCTTTCCATGACTCACGGCCCCGCACTGGTACTGATTGGAAAGTACTTTAAGAAGAGAAGAGGCATCGCAACAGCAGTTGCCATGTCTGGAATGAGTTTGGGGGGCAGTGTCTTCCCACCTCTAGTGAACTTCCTATTGGGTGAATATGGAGTCAGAGGAAGTATGTTGATCCTCACAGGGCTGACAATGAACGTCTGGGTCGGGGCAGCCTTGTTTAGACCATTAAGTTATTTCCAAAAGAAGGCATTAAAGAACAGATCAGTCATGAATAAAGAACATGGAGATGAAGATGGTGATGTTGTACAAAACTCTTCTGTTAAGATGGCCATCGACGAGGCTAGTGGAAATAATGCAGGTCTCAGTCAAATGGACACATGCAAAGAAAAGGTTGTTCGTGAAAGAAACAGACCTGATTTGGCGATTAGTTTTGGATCACAAGAACATGATCTTTCCGAATATCATCTGAGAATGTACACAAGCAACCCTGATTTGACATCAATGTCATTGGTGGATATACGAGAGGTTCATTCACAAAAGTATGGCGATGAACAAGAAACAAGGCTACACAAAAGTGCGTGCATGCATGTTAAACAAGCTTTCGCAGCATTTGACTTTTCTTTGTTCAAACAACCAATGTTTCGGCTGATTGCCGCATTTTCTCATTTTGGTATGGTGTTTACATTAGCAGGAGCATATCTTCCTGCCCTGGCAAATGAAAAAGGCATTCCACCAACAGTGGCAGCCTTTCTGTTGACTATTACAGGTGTGCTTGATTTCTGCGGTAGACTGGCAGTTGGGTTCGTCGCTGATCTCAAATACATCAAAATCAATCATTTGATGGCTATTGGAATAGTAATATCTGGAACAGTGGCTCAATTCGCCTCTTTTTACAACACGTACCCACTTTTAATCGTATTCTCCGTGCTTGCCGGGCTCTTTGGCAGTTTTTATAATTGCCTGATTCCTATTGCCATTGTTGAGTTTATGGGACTGAAACACATGGCCAAAGCTCTTGGATTTATAGCTGTGTTTCATGGGCTTGCAATGGGGCTGACACATCCAATCATGGGTAAGTCTTCCCATCAGTTTGCATGCTATTAAATTCATAAGGTGTAAAAAATTATTAATCATACTACATTTCTGTTTTTATAACTCTTTAATTAATAAATTCAAAGCTTAATAGTTCAATATAAAATAGACATAAAGCGTTTAGACATGCTACAAATATATAACGTAATGTAAAACCCCAAAACTTTGACGGTGCAAACCTTTCAAATGAAAGAATTCGCGGTCTATCGAGCTATTGGTATGTTTGGGCAGAGTGAAATGCTGAGCAGTTAATCAATAAGAGTAAGTAGGGCTTCCCGACGCTGTTATCAATATTCCAGCTGTATTGTACCCATGTGGGCAACGAACCCGGACAATCGATGTGAAGAGAAAACGCTGTAACCGCTCATAACTTTGATGTTCCGTATATATTGAAACGTTTAATACTTCCTGTTATGATGCAAAACCATTAAATACTCGATTTTAAAACAAATGCTCGGTTTTGCTTCTTCACAGATACTGATACTGAAATTGTAATAACCCTAAAAGAAAATATAACATATATAGTCATTAAATTTGAAATATTTCATATTTTGCCTAAATTCTTACTATTGTTTTAAACATTACTTATCGTAACACATTTCTTGCAGGGGCAATCCGTGACCTGACTGGCTCGTACAACTTGTGCTTTAACTATATTGGAATATGCAACTATATCTGTGCCATATTGCTTCTGTGCATACCACTAGTCACAAAGAAGACACCAACGACACCAACGACGAAGGAATTGGAAGAAGGCCAACCACTGAAACATGACTGAGATTGCACCTTTAAGAGTGCCGTGTGTAGATGCATTGATGCCTTTTTATATATATTGTCTTATATCCCACTACATATTCGTTTGGAGATTGCATCCACCTGCGAGTTGTATCTTTACCTCAACATATTGGACATTGTCGCAGTCATTGTGTTGAAAACTAAACAAGTGTAGGTTTTTGAATTGTGTGGATCATTGGAAGCATAAAACAAAATGGCTTTTTGAAGACTGAAAAGTGAAACGATTGTGATCCCCGAACGTTACGAACATCACCTAGATGTAAATCTGCCTTAAGTTAGACAACAACTGATACACATGTACATGTATATACCAGCATTATATCATTCGATTTTACCCGTAAAGATCCGGGTTAGAATTGGTCTTCTTCAATCCAACTTGATCGGGTGATCAGGCTCGTATTCCAATTGCGTGGATCGATGATCATGATGTCAATCACTCGATTGTCTGGTCCAGACTCGATTATTTAAGACCGCCGTCGTATAGCTGGAAAATTGCTGAGTGCGGTGTTAAAAAACAAACAAACATAATATATTTCAATAATGGGCTTGGTTTGATAGGCTGAAATAGTTTAGTATAACATTCTTTATAACCTTTGGCAGTGTGTTAAGCTATTCGAATGAATAAAGTGTACACCGTTATGTAGCTAGTTCTCATACTAATGCTTGTAGTAATACGTAATCACAATGTGAAGACAAGATTATTCATCAGCCTGCATTACAACTTGCAAACACTACAATAACAAGGAGCTGCGTATGCCTGAAATATAATATTCTAGCAGTCGGCGTACTTTATCACCAGTATATGCAATAACTGCGGTAGCGGACCTAATCTTCATTTGATTGATTTGACAACATCTAAATATAGAACGTATTAGGTGTGTGTGTTTCTGTATCATACATGTCGTATTTAAAGAAAATAAATGTATAATGCGAGCTTTATGTCTAATATTTGATATTTACGACAAGGACTCATACGAGGGTAATACTGTCGTTAAAAAAAGGGCCAATATAGCTCTTGCCTGTACGGGTATGTGCAATGTCAAGGAAATTAGCAGGTCAAGGGCAGTAGGGTGACCTTGTCAGTACATACCGACTATGTCATCCCGTTTCGAAGAGATAGCATCTTGAGAGGAATTATTAGTGTCGCACATTCAAGTCACTGATTTATAATCGGAATAGATTAAATGTATTTGACATTTGATAACATAAGAAGCTGAAAAGAACTTGTTGAAAAACCTGTTGGGGCATGTATGACAGTGCAATCGGGGCCGTTCGTCTGACACACACAGTGTCTTGCATATATAACGCCCCCTACTTGACATAACATTTTTCTGTCACGTGAGTTTTAGATTGGTGATTGATGTTTATGGCATGAACAGCTGTTATAGGTTCGTGTGAAAGTACAGGTATAGAGTACAAGTGAAATATAGCCCTATGTCGCAGGGACATTGTCGAGCGATTCAAACATTTAAGACCTGTTTGTCAAACATATCTACTACAGTATAAATATCATAGGTTAAAGGCTGTGCATTACGTGATAAAGATAGTCCCTTTAACATCAGTAAAAACAGATTGAGTCGGAGTGTAATTGATAGAGTCGCAATGGGTATTACGATGACGAATCTATAACTAACAATGTGGAAGGAAAGCCCGAAGTGATGCAGCTCTCAGACGTTTACCACTTCGGTGAAACCCACGAGCACGGGTATGGTGCTGACAAACCTAGGAACATAATCGGGGCGAACCGGGATTCGAACCCACAATCATAGGTTTCTGGCGTGCCCAATGGACGCAACTCTGCACAGCGAATCGCGGCGCCTTAGACGACTGGGCCACCCGTGCCCCGAACCCAAAGTAAATAAAATGTTTGTAAATGTATAATCCTTGTCTATGTATAAGTTAGATTTGAAAAGCAAATGACACAACTGTTTTTGTTGGTTCCTCTTCTTCCATATACCCCTGCTCACACGTAACAATGAGTGAGTGAGTTGTGTTTAACGCCGCTTTTGACAGTATTCCAGTTATATCACGGCGTGTCAGCTTAATGTGGGAGGAAAGCCCGAAGTGATGCAGGTCTCAGACGTTAACCACTTCGGTGAAACCCACGAGCACGGGTATGGTGCTTACACACCTAGAAACATAATCGGGGCGAACCGGGCTCACACGTAACAAACATATGTGTTGGTTCTGAAGGTGTTTAAACGTGCGGGAAATCCATGATACTCAAGTAGCTCCAAATTCCAATCCAAATATACATATTACTGTCAAAGCAAGATAACCAGTCTTAATTATCGGGCGAAATAGATACCATTTGTCGTAAAGGGAAAATAGCTGTGAAATGGATATGAAAACGTATATGAGAAGTTGCATGTGTTTATCAGTTGCACCCACAAGAAGTTTCGCTTCACATGTACATACATGTACACCAATTGTGCGGTATTTCTTCAGAAAAGGCCCCCTTTGTTCCATGTATCCCTTGCTTCAAAAGCATTAAATATGGATGGTTAAAATGCGTGACACGGCTGTACCGTGACTAGTTCTTTGTTAAATTCAGTGTAACTGAAGCTGTAATATTACTATGTACAGCGTAAAATTTCACAAATTCATGAAATCTGAAAAAACACAGAACGGCTATTTAGAACTTTGACCAATCCTGATTTTGATAGATGAAATATAGGTCATCTACACCAGATTTTTCACAGAACATTCAGCAGAGAAGGCATGCTGCTTAAACCAGTGGATGGACATAGGTGAGGGTTCATGGGAAATTAATGCCGACTGAATGTAGTAACACACAACTATCGATGTGGTCAAGCAAACTAATTATTGGCAGTAGAAAACCTTAATTGCAGAATCATTATTGACTGGTACACGCATTAAATAATTAGAATATTTAATGTACTTACATACTCAAAAAGGCATTTGGACAAACTACAAAGTCAATGTTATATTCAAATGTAAGTTACAGATACATATGATAAATATACTATACATTGCAACCTAGTTAATATCTATTGACTCACTATATTCTTGTACCGTTGCACTGTCCAGGCAATATGCAAAATCGTGCATGTTATGTAAACATAACAATATAATCATAGTACGTATGATGTAATGACACAACTTATCATTGTAATTACGTATGTCTTATATACAACGCTATTGAAGCATTACTTCCACTTTCACTTGTATAAAATGACAAGGCTACCTTCGTGAAGTGAAATGATTTCCTTTCATATTCTTTTTGTGTTGTTGATTAGACGAAACAGGAAATTCATGATATTGACACCCTCAGATGAAGAATCATGTCAGACAATATATCCCAACCTCGCTCTTCCTTCAGTCGCTTATATATTTACCAGTTGCAATGGGAGGACGTGGTTTGATTAACGTGGAAGCTGTTCATGATAGACTTGTATGGTGAACTTTTGCCAACATTTATTTGTCTGATGATCCTCTTGGGAAGCATGATAAAAACAAGGCATCCACGGTTTTCTCACGGTTTTATGTGGACATAATCTCAATGTCAATGTTGAGTTTGATGATGGTTCTGTACTGCTGAACGGTACAGTAATGAGTGTCGATCCAGTGACACATCAAATAGATGTCGCTTCGAAAGGGAAGGCTCTCTGAACGACCACTGCATCGATTTTATGTGCCGTGTGAACGGCAACCCAGCAGAGACATCACATTCTCCCAATAGCTCTGGGTGGGTTCGACTCGGCAGCGATTTCTGGGAGACGTCCCATTCGCTGTCTGGGCTGCGTGTAGAGGGCCCTGAGCTAATGATTAGCATAATAAGCCTGACTGTGCCAGGATCACCCAAACCATCTTTGCTGCATTTGTTTATTTTATCTGTATATAATAATGATAATGATTATGATGACGACGACCACGACGATGATGATGTTGATGGTAATGATGATGGTGATTATAATATTATTTCTGCGTTAGTACTCTTGAATAAAATACAATACCTTAAAAAGAACTAGGACAAACGCGTGATGTTATCAAACGTTTAAAACATTATCAAAAGAATTACGGATACGATGTTTCGAGCATTATGAGTTGATCCTTTCATTGTATACGTCTAGGACATTCAGTGATCTATCAGCATTGGTACTAATTGCAAAGTATTTCAAGAGGAAAAGGGGGCGCCCGGGTAGCCTAGTGGTTAAAGCGTTCGCTCGTCACGACGAAGACCCGGGTTCGATTCCCGACATGGGTACATTGTGTGAAGCCCATTTCTGGTGTCCCCCGCCGTGATATTGCTGGAATATTGCTAAAAGCGGCGTAAAACCATATTCACTCACTCACTCACTCACTCAAAAGGAAAAGATGCATTGCTACAGCAGTTGCCATGTCTGGGAACAGTTTGGGAAAGAGTATATTCCCATCTCCCGTGAACTTCCTGAGGAAGTTTCTTGATCCTGACGGAGCTGACAATAATCGTATATTGTTTGTGTCTGTGTTCTATGGACGTTCTGTGTCAGTAAAGCACCTCGTCATGGGTAAGATCAATTAACATGTTTATACATTTTTTTTCCAAACTGCATCGTGTTACATTGATTTCTTAAAGGGTTAACCCTAAAGGTTAAGAGTGACTGAGTTAGCTTCGAACAGTATTTCGACTTAATGTCCAATGTGATGCAGATCTCGACCACGTTAGTGAAACCCACGAGCATTGGTATGGCTGGATTACGAATCATAATCAGGACTGTTTAGGGGATTCAAACTCAATAGCATTATCATTTTGGAACGCCTAGAGGTCGCAAAGTAGCACAGCGAAATGCGACACCGTTTACAACTGGGCCACCCGCGCCCCTATTAGGGATAATAGATGTACATTAGTATGCATCCTTAAATGTATGACTTCATAAATGTATAAAACATCATCATACGTCTGTGGCCAGAGACTAGTATAACACATACACATTGATTGTATGAAGTAGTTATAATAATGGAAGTTGTATTAAGACGTGATGTGGATCTCGTGTTGATCAACAATTGTAATGAGCAATGACGACAAATAAATATAATTGATAAAATATGGTAATATGTTTGAATGTCATTATGGCTTCATTCACTGAACATGTCATTTTCTTGCAGGCATAATCCGTGATCTGACTGGTTTATAGAACATGTGTTTCATCCGTATTGGAATCTGTAACGCCTTCGCTGCTGTAATTCTGCTGAGCGAACCATTGTTCAGAAGAAGAGCAACTGCGACACTATCCAAAAGCGATGTAAAAGAGCTGGATGAAAATCAACCATTAAAAATAAAATGACTTAGATTCACAAGTTGAACAGTTGATAGAGTAATTAATAGTTTAAATGTATATTCAGTGTTTAGATTGGGTTTAGACATATTACACATATACAAAGTGAAATTACGTGCGTGTTATACCCATGTGATTGAACATCAAAAAATCGTAAAGTATATACAAGTGCTGTGTTATATACACTAAGCATAAGCTTTACCATATTTAACTTCACTTTCGGATTTACATTCAGAAGACCTTTGACACTTGACCACATATTGCAATGTGACTTCTGTGTGTAATCTGCAATCTGCTTAAGTTGCTAAATTGGACTGGATCACGGAAATCTTGTAGACTTTTCACTTTCCTTCTGAATCCCAAATGTGATCACACGTGCCTTTCGACTTAGGGAAATAAATACCATAGAGCATTAATCATGTATTGGGTTTGATTATTTTTATCAGAACTTTAACAGAAAGGGACCTCATGTTACATCCTCTTGTGAAAACACATAAGGTTTATCTCCTAATTTAGTCATCATATCTGTCAGAAACGATTTAGAACGATCAGCAAGGAAAGAGGCATGTCCCCAAGTCAGATTGTTATAAATCCGAATGAAGGAGTTTAATTTCGCCTCACACTTTGTGTTAAATAATCATTAAAAAATGTCTTCATGAGTAAGAACGATATCGTAGCCATAGCAAAGAGTAGATAATTAAGTGTTCACATAATTAGATGTTTGATCCCGGAAGAAGAAGAAGAAGAAGATGAGAGTGATCTTTATGAAAATGTCACCGCTGACGCAGATACAATACAGTAACTATATATACTCAACAACAAAAGTTCCTGTGACACCAATATCATAGTCTACTTTTCAAACAAGTAAAGTTTGGTTTTCAATATTGTTAATTACGCAATAATTCAACATTACGAAATTCCACGCCTGTCCGAAAATGAACGTCTGCGAGCCATTGGTATGCTTGAAGCAGGATCGAGTCAACGTGATGTTGCAAGACAATTTAACGTCCACAGAAACACCATTTGGTGTTTATGGCAACGTTGGCAACAGACGAATGCAGTCAGAGACCATCCTCGGAGTGGCAGGCCAAGTGTAACCAATAATCGACAAGACAACTGGATTCGATCAACACACCTACGATATCGATTCCAGCAAGCAACAGTGACTGCCAGAAGCATCCCTGACCTTCGACGAATATCTTCACAAACCGTACGTCGCCGAATCAGATGTGCAGGGATTGTAGCCAGAAGACCCGCCAGACGTCCCATTTTGACAGGAAACCACCGTCTAGCACGTCTACAGTGGTGCAGACAGCGTCTACGCTGGACGGCCATGCAGTGAGGACAAGTTCTATTCACTTACGAGTCTCGTTTTCACCTAAGTCACAGTGATGGACGGATTCGAGTGTTAGGTGAACGTTACGTCAGTCACTGTGTCATTGAAGAAGATAGGATCTGGGGCGGCAGCGTTATGGTATAGGATGGGATTACAGCAAGACAGAGGACCCGTTTGATAGTGGTAGAGGGAAATCTCAATGGACAGTGCTACCGCGGCGAGATCACCGGCCCTGTTGTTCTACCTTTTTTGCGTCGTCATGGCCCAGGCATTACCTTTCAACATGACAACGCCTGGCCTCATATTGCTCGACTTTTTCAGGATTCTCTCCAACAAAACAACGTGAATGTCATCCCCAGGCCGGCTCGCTCCCCTGATCTCTCACCAACCGAGCACATGTGGGATGAGATGGATCGGCACCTTCGACGTCAACCACGTGTTCCACAGACACTCCAGGAAATTCGAAACATGCTTCAGCAGACCCACAGGACTTTGTGCGACGCCTGGTCCATTCAATGAGACGAAGATGTGTTGCTTGCATCGCAACCAGAGGTAGACACACACGCTAATGATCTGTAAATTGACATTTTGCCATGTTCGTGTTTTTTAAAAATAAAATCACGCATTTTCTTAAGTCAGTATGGCAAATTAAAACATTTGAACACTTACAGGAGTCTTTTATCACTTGCAAACCGAAATTATTTCAGATTTGGTAAAAAACATAACTTTGCATTTAATCTTATTCAATGTTGCAGGAACTTTTTCAAATAATTTGGTGCATGTGTACATACAGTGCCCCCGATTACCATTACCTATGGGGCACTATATATATATATTATAATAATAAGATATAATATATATACATGTATGGTTCAATTTTAGTGTTTCTTTTATAATATATATATATATATATATATATATATATATATATATATTTATATATATATATATATATGGTTTCAGTTTTAGTGTTTCTTTTATTCCTTTATATAATATATATATGTATGGTTTCAGTTTTAGTGTTTCTTTTATATATTAAAGAAACACTAAAATTGATCAATTTTGGCCATGTATGTATCTCTTTCTTACACCTAATGTAGTATAGTGTTGTATGTAATGTGTTTATTGTGCTACAGAAATGCGTCAGTGACTGATGTTTGCTTAACGTCGTTTGGCGGGCTATTTTGAGATTCGCAGGGCAAGAGCAGTTTTATGTTCCGTCAACCATAATCTCTCTTTCGGCACAATCAGGTATGCCTGTACACGCTGAAGCCGCATTGGTGATGACAATTATATTAAAAGTGAAATATCCCAAGTCCATGTTTGTATGTTTGTGATGAAAACATCTTAATCTAATGTACAATGGGTATTACCGATGGATGCTATATGGAAGTCAAGTCTGTAACGGATGGAACCGCCTCCACGGTGAAATGAATAGAGAATCTGCCCGGAAGTGCGGACGTTTGGTAGGTCGATCTCCGGCCGCGTCATACCAAACGACGTTAAAAAGATGGCACTTCTGGCGCTCGGTATTAACGGGATGGACAAGGACTGTATCGGAATCAGCTTACAGTAAACTACGATTATAACGAACGCAAAGGGACCACTAATTTTAGTTCGTTATAACCGTAGTTCGTTATAAGCATCTATACCGCAGCAAATAGTCGGGACAAAAAAGTAAGTTCGTTATATCCGTCAGTTCGTTATAAGCGTGTTCGCTATAAACGTAGTTTACTGAGTGGGGTATGCATGTTAATCCGCGGATAAACTCCATTTCAGTTCCACTTATCGGATACACGAAAATGCCCGCATACAATTACACCGGCCGTCAACTAATTGTGCCGTATTCATTTCAGTTAACTGAATGCTATTGCGTGTACCTTCGAAACTGATATTTATTCTGACGAAATACGGAATACATTTGAGAAACCAGGACAAACGTATAAATAGCACGTTTGAAGTTGGATATGTTGCTCAGCGTTGTCAGAGCCCTTTCATTAGCGGAGGCGAGGGGACACAAAGACTTCTGTTTGAGGATACATACAGGTGAGCTTCGTGTTACATGAGGTAGATTTGTATCAAATACCGATATACTAGAACAAGATTCGTGGTGTCTGTGTGTCTGTGACGTGTAATTTGTATATTATACCAGTGACGTTTTCATGAGTTTGATAGAAAAGAATGAACCCCCTCGTATACTTCTATACTATTAAACAATGCGTAGTTAGTTGAGTACTAAATATGATTAACTTTGTTCACTATAATGTGAATACGAAATGTTATACTCTACGCACCGAAGCGACGTAAAATCTATAAGCGATGCTTACCATGTATAAAGAGAACAAATCATGTGAGCAGATATCCAGTGTTGGGTGACATTCTCCAAAGAGTTCTGTCAAAAGAAATTGCAATAAACTTGACTGATTTCATTAAACAGACAATGATACTTCAACCTTAAAGTAACAAATGGAGCAGTGCAATGATACGGACAAATTACTGCCACGATTATGTCCGAGCTTGTTAGGTTGGGCTGAAAAGGTATTGTTAATCACTGACCCTCACAGAAGGCCGCCATTTCAACACGTGTTCGTAATCGGCTTGGCGATAAGAGAAGTGTGTGTGGTCGTCCGTCGCTGAAGATATATATGTAGGTCAGTCACAAGATTAAAGATAATTTGTGACTATACACAAGCACAGATAGGTATGTATATGTTTACACAATATTATCGTGGTGAAGATGACAGGAACGCATTGTATCTGACACTTGCGTTGCTATATATTCGTGTAACATACAGGCTTGTACGGATTTCGGATCATAATAGGTGAACGTACCTTATGTGTTGTGGTAGAAACTGACATAGGGATCAGGTGAAAAGGCTCTGTTACTTGGTTGATTGTTTACCATCGGAACTTGATGACGTGGATCGTTTTTCGTGTTTTCAATCACCATACTGTCCGTACTGACAGTTCACAGTTATTTATATGGATTGTTTGGTGGTTTTTTTCAGCCTTAAACTACATTCAAACAATCACTGATAGTTACAAGCAGCCACATTCACTTTCTAGGAAAATGTCACATTGGTATTGTGTAAATGCATTTTCATAAATTATATAGGTCCAATGTGCTATCAACAGCAGTAAACATGACACAAGATTCAAAAACGTGTCGAAAGGACGAAGCTGACAGAGACGGACATGTAGTTGTGACACCAGATACAAACAACGGAAAACTGTTCATACCGAAGACGGGAGAGGTCGTTGATGGGGAAGACAGTTTGTTGGGAACGGTGACAGAAGAAGGTGGGACTGGAGCTGGGGTAGATGCCGAGAAGCTGAACATGTTGCATGATGGTGGTAATGGCGAGCTACCAGATGACAGTCAACCAGAGCAAGAGGATGATGGTGTACCTATCGATCGTGGATGGGCTTGGGTAGTGTTAGCAGGTGATCGATTGTGCATATTTCTACGTCCATCCAGATAACAGAAACAAATATGTTTGTCAGAATAGAAGATATAGTACTCTGTCACAATCATTCTATAGCATATGGAATCTAACATTTAAGAATTCTGGATTAAATCTGTCCCTTCTTGATGCATTTCGAAAACAATTAAATTGTAAAAAAATCACGTCTTGGTAATCACTGATACCACATTGTATTTTATCCTATTCGGTGTCTTCTCGTCTCACTCCAGGGAGTTTCCTGAATGTTGTTTTAATGGTTGGGTATGGACGGTCCATTGCCATATTCTTTGTGGCATACTTGGAAGAATTCGAGGCATCTGCTACAAAAACAACCTTGTTCATGGGTGTGATGGCAGGGACGTACAGTATAAGTTGTGAGTATTAATCAATACATGCAAATGTAAACTTTTTTTGTAAAGAAAGACATCCTCATGTTCCTGTATACCGCTGCATACTGATACAAAATGTACATTGATAATTACTGTGATGATTGTGTTATGTTATGGACACAAATAATCTATCTCGTGTTCCCTCTCGGCTGGCAACATATTCTGACCCTTATGGTCGTATAGATGATATATTTAGTGTACTAATTTTTAGTATTTTAACAAAACCATGTTCTGTATGTCAACAGCTCTCATGTCGATGAACATAATTCTGCAACTGCTTGGGGAGAGAAAAACTGTACTTCTTGGTGGGACTATATCAGCTGTAGGAATGCTGACAGGAGTTTTCGCCACCAGTATTACATACCTCATCTGCACTCACAGCATTCTCATCGGTGCGTAAATCAACTATTCATGTTAACAAATACAGATATACATAATGACACAGAATAATAATTTATGGCACAAGTAAATGCATATGAGACTTTTTAACATTAGGTCCCTTTATATGGCCATTATTGTATACATATATGTTTATAAAATGTTTATGTTTGCACATTATACCAAAATGTAAACAACTATTAAAGGCTTGAATGAGTTGGACGCACTCCGAAAAAAATAGATCAGTTATGCAACGGCGTAACAAAATGATGCAGGTCTTGGACATTAAGAATTATACTTTAAAAACGAGCATAAAATTCTGGTATGAGTAAGAGACATCAGGCTGCAGAGACATATTCAGATTGAAGCATAATGTGTCACTATGTAAGCTGTATTGTAGGATGTTGTAATCATGTAACACTATAAGCATCTTGAACAAAACATTAATGAAATGATTCATTTACTTTCAGGTATAGGGCATTCCATGATTCATGCTCCAGCATTGGTATTGATCGGAAAGTACTTCAAGAAGAGAAGAGGCATTGCCACAGCAGTTGCCATGTCTGGAATTAGTATTGGGGGCAGCGTTTTCCCACCCCTTGTTCGTTTCTTATTAGATGAATATGGTGTCAGAGGAAGTATGTTGATCCTAACAGGGCTGACAATGAACATGTGGGTCGGGGCTGCGTTGTTTAGACCATTAAGTTTCTTTCAAAAAAGGATACCAAAAAACCCATCCGTCATGAGTGAAGGGCGAAAACATGACCAAAGACAAGGCAATGAAAAACATGGAAATGAATATGATGTGGTTCGAGTATGTTCTGTAAAGGAACTCACTAGTGTTAATGGTGGACAAGCAGTTGTCACATTTGCGAGTCAATCAAATAGAGCAGAGGGACAGACTAGTGCAATTATCCGCAAACGTACAAGACAAGAATCAGTTGTCAGCATTGAATCACAAGTAGATTCCCTCTCAGAAAGCCAGATTAGATTGTACACAAGTAACCCAGATTTGACATCAATGTCAATGGTGGATATTACAGAAGTTAATGCTGAATCAGTTGACAATGAACAGGAATCAAAAGAAGCCAAAAGTTGTGGCATGTATGTGAAACGAGCCTTATCAGCATTTGACTTTTCCTTGTTCAAACAACCAATGTTTCAGTTGATTGTTGCATTTGTTCATTTTGGGGTAATATTTGGATTGGTTGGAATCTACCTTCCTGCCCTGGCAAAGGAAAAGGGCATCTCACAAACAGATGCAGCATATTTGTTGACTTTGTCGTGTGTTCTGGATTTTTTCAGCAGACTTGCTGTCGGGTTCGTTGCCGATCTCAAATACATCAAAATAAATCATTTGATGGTTATTGGAATACTTATATCTGGAATGGCAACACAGTTTGTCTATTTTTTCAACACGTATGCTCTTCTCGTCGTATTCTCTGTGATTGTCGGACTCTTTGGCAGTTTTTATCACTGCCTTATTCCTGTTGCCATTGTCGACTTCATGGGACTTGAAAACATGGCGAAGGTTCTTGGATTTATAGCTGTGTTCCACGGTTTAGCCATATCTGTGACGCATCCGATCATGGGTAAGATCGTCATTAAATATTTTATGTTTGTAATGTTATGCTGTAATTGACCATGAGCATTCATCGAGATACAAGTATAATAGTTCTGTTAAAAGTACATGTAGTAGTAACATTGATAAACGTAAGGGAACATGACTTGTACATTGTTTGGCCATCCACACAATATACACACTAATAATACCTTGTGCAATGCATCCTTGACATTTGGTTGGCAGGCCATGCAAATTACCGAAATATATTGACTGATAATAATGTGGGTGGGGCTTGCAATGCATTCTTGCGATGAACGATGTCACCGATTTTGTCTACAATCTGTTGGTGATATTGATTAAATACCAAGCACTCTGTCTGAAGCTACTGGTATTTACACTGTTCACATCAGTTTGTAGGTTTATACATCCAAAAATGGAACAGATTGAAGTCAGCTCTAAATATACGAATGTCTGTTAAGGTAAAACATTATGAATTCCATTAAAAAAGAAGTCTTGGCCCACCCCAACAAACAGTCATTCGCAAGTGATTCAAGGTAAATGTTCTTTGATTTGAACTGCAAATATGTCGGACAATATATTTCACTATATACGATGCAAATAAATGAGGAGAGTGTGAGTCATCAAGACATATCTTCAGACCTGTATGGTATTGACAATTGGAATTGATCTGATCTTATTTATTATTGGGTATGCGATCTGATCTAGTGGTTTCTGGTGCTTGGTTGGATGGGATAGTGGCGCACGAGGTTGTTCAAGAGGTCAGGGGTCAAATTCAAAATTTGCACTTTGCGTTTTGCAGTCAGTGTCACTAATGGCTAGAAATGCACGAATTATTCGAGGCAGAACTTCTGATGATGTCGACAAATGTCAGATTGGCTCGTGTTGTTCCACTCATCAGTGAGAGCTGCACCGAGTTCATTGAGACTGGTCGGTGGATTGTGACGTTGGCGCACACGTCTGCCAATAACGTCCAGACGTGTTTCATGGGGGAAAGGTCAGGACTGGGTGTTGGCCAAGGCATGTCATAGATGCCTTCAGTTGGATGAATTAGATCACAATTATCAAATATGTTTAATATAGGGTATATGAGAGTTTGGGTCCAAGAAAACAATATGCGTCTGCTCACAACCGAGTCTGAGTGACAATAGTAAATCTGATATAGTATCCCCTCAACGTGCTGTCCGAGGTCACGTGCTTCATGACTTTCACAATGCTATGTTTTAGGATTGATTTCTTCATAAATGTTCGTTTCACATAAATCACTTGCTTTTATTGCCAGTTTTCGGTACTTTCGCCACATTATTGTCCGTGTCCAAATTCAATTTACCAGTGCTGGTCATAGGCCAACATACTTTAGTTGTTAATACGGTCAGGTATAATGATTTGTTTGATTGCTTGTCATCACATCTTAAAGAAGCAGCGGAGTAAACTGACTATAACAGTCCAGTTACCACCTTGCCGAAGTCCGCTGGACGTATGAAGTTATATTTTGGCTGGACTATCAATCCAAATCTCGTAACAAAATCGCCATCATGTTCGTAAACAACATGGCGACTGTCGTGCAGAGTTTGCTCCACTGCAGAATTTGGAAAGCATGTGTAACGTTAACTGGGCGTCGACAACAGATGTTTTCCAATTGGTTCATTTTTATAATCAAAGTGCTAGTGCTCGACGTGCTATATTCCACATGCACTGGGTGTCTACGCCAGGGAATGTGAAACCTTTCTTCGACTAATTTGATGAGATCGTCTTGACTCAACACCGCCATTTTGTTTGAAGCAAATGTAAGTTATAATAGAGGTGGAGTTCAATCCGTCAATATGAGGGACATAGAAGTGACATATATCGTTATTGCGACTGGTGGCGCTGCGATCGAGCAATGAAATTCAAGCCTAATTCAGCAAAGATTGAAATTTGACTTTTCGAGACAGTTAACTGCCTTGTCTCGGAAAATGCTGTCATTGATAATTACTTATTTACAATCAGAAGTGTTAAAAGTATATTGCTGATTTAGGCGTACATTTACTGACCCACGTCTCCATTAACTTCGGTACCACAACTGGTTATGTTAGGCTGTATTAGCCATTGTTAAATGGAACGTTTAAAAATATTTTGTTGAAATCTGACTACTTTGTGATAATAATGCCCTGCGTATTTTTGTTACAGGGACAATCCGTGACCTGACCAGTTCATACACCCTTTGTTTCAACTACATTGGAATATGTAACTTCATAGCTGCAATATTTCTACTTTGTGTACCGCTCGTCAGACGTCGGGCGAACAGAATGAAGTCAGAGAGTTCCCTTATGGACATTGAAGAAAACCGACCACTGAAAAGTAATTGATGTATCAAGGACGTTTTGTGCAACTATAAACGTTGAATAAACTGTTTTACAAAGACACATGCCACATGTCTGTGCGTTGAACTCATATCTTTATATTATGTGCGAGTGTTATGCTTATATTTATTTCTTTAAATAAAAATTCAAACTGGCATTTTATGTGTGATGATATGTATAAATCAAATAATACAACTATCGATATCTTCATATGCCCTCGGGAAACTCATATATATGTCTACGGTTTTATGGATTAGCTGTCTCTTGCGAATGAATGATGTGAGCAGATACTCTGTAATAGCGTATACTATATGTTAATCTGTGTCACTGATGAATGAAAATGAAGAGCAAAACGTATGAAATGTCAACCCTAAAATGAAACTTTTATTATTTACTTCAGTGTGAAAGACTGAGTTTTCCGAAGTTGAGAAAAGTGACATTTTTATTGCAGTGAACATAACACTTGATATGTCACTGCTGTGAACATAACACTTCGACGGAATTATTGTCATACAAAAGTTACCTCCCTTTAAATTGTCTCTCTTTGTCGTAAGTGACAAGCCCGAACACAAACTGTTGAGTTCTTTTTACGTTAGTCCACATTAACAAGGCAAAAAATTGAAAGACGGCTGTTTATGAAGTTAATATCACTTCTTGCCGTTTGTTATTCTCTCGAAAATGTTTCCTTGTAATCTCTTAATCCCTCATTATACTCGTCAATCGAGACAGTTCGTTTCACAAAGCGCCATTTTTGTTACTTGACCAGTGTGTATTCTTTCGCTTTTAACAGTGGTCTCCAAGTTTTCAAGAATATTTTTTTTGTGAAAGTTGATTTTGAAAATAATCATATCTTTATATATGATAAAGAATTTTCGTGACCCTAAATATTTTTTGATACTTTTGTTTAGATTTGTTTAAGATTTTGCTGACACAAAACTATTTTTTAAGTCGCAAATACAAGGGGTTGTGAACCGTCCCTGCGTGTTAGGTAGGGAGGATCTACCTTTGAAGGTTTTACATTTGTAATGAATTAATTTAATTTACTGGTAGACAACTACACAAAAGAGAATATGATAGGACATGCCATGTTTCTCTCATCGAGTGACGGGGGTAAAAAGAGATATTCGACACTCGACACATGTAATATCCTCTATCACTTAATACAACCTATTGTGACGTTTTTTGCATTAGTTTGTCATGTCATTAATAATGGATGACGTTATACTAGTGTGCTCAACATTGGACAAAGTAAGATCATGTTGCTTCAACTGACCAGTCAGAATTTAAAATCACTGTAATCTCATTTCGGAACGATTTTAGCACTTACTCAAAATACAAGGGAGCTATGGTACGGACCTAGGTATGTGCATGTAATATTTATTATATAGCTAGGCTACCTACACACACTAAGGAGCCACGAATAACCCAAAGGTCACTTGCCGTTTCATACTCCTCCATGGTCTCAATTCTCAAGTTTGTGTTTCAAGTGCCGGCACTTCGGACGTCCTTTCCACCCTCCCATATAAAACACTGTTGAAAGTTAAGTTCTGTTAACAGCCAGAGATAATCATGTATGTGTATTGAAACGGTCATACAGGCAGTATTTCAATAATCATTAACAAATATCGCCATAAGTAAGAAGGAGGTCGTCGCCAAAGCAAAAAGTAAATAATAAAGTGCTCACCAAATTAGATGTTTGATTACGGAAGAAGATGAGAAAGTAAGTGATCTTTATTTCAGTGTCACGCATAAACAAACATATACATTTTGGGTGGATATTACAATGCCCGATCAACATGACCTATGAGACACAAAAGACTTTAAGAAGCAAGAAGCTAAACCATGTATATATATATCAAATATATATATATATATATATATATATATATATATATATATATATATATATATATATATATATATATATAAATTTTAAAATAAAATAATAAAGTCCACGTTCGTCCATCATCTTCTTTATATCAGTTTAAGACATAGTCCTTTCGCTGTCAGTGTCAGCTCTTCAGTGTAACTGACAATGACATATAATATGACGTCATACTTATGATGACGTCATAAATTACAACTGTGAAGTCATAATGTATTTACACACTCCAGCGACGACACCGAGTAATTTAACAAATGTAGGGAGACATTTGAATTAAAATATACAGTATTTGTAAATATGTTTTATATATATACATGGTTTAAGCTTCTTAAAGCCTTTTGTGTCTCGTAGGTCATGTTGATCGGGCATTGTAATATCAACCCAAAATGTATATATATAAAAGAAACACTAAAATTGAAAACAAAATCATCGATATAATCCTATTTGTTGCGTGTATCCATACTCATTACCGCATACACGCAACCAATCTCACTCTATGTTATCGTGTACCAACCCTCGGATAATCGTACTCAGAAAAATAATACCCCACTTTAGGTCGTTAATAACGTCAGCCAAGTCATTAAGAAACAAACAGAGAATAACGTTGGTGACAACGCGCAACTTTGCGCAACCATGAATATAAAATTCATCCGTTAATTTCAATGAAATGACCGTTTACAGAAACTCTTGACCAACTTGTTCCATACAACAATTTAACATTGAAGTTGAAATTACCATCTACAACCATTTTTTGCAGTTCATACCAGAAACAGTCACATTGGATTTGATTGAAAACTTTCATCGCGTTAATATGGCAAACAAAGGTAGAACGTCTTGATGGTCATAGCGTACGGTTGTTGATTGCTGTATACAGCGTAAAATCTGTTCAATAAAAGCAATCTTAATAGTGAGTTAAACTGCCATGACAGTCAAACACTGAACGGGAATATTATCAAATCATATCGCTCACTAAAATAACATGAAACATCACTCACGGAATGAATTTGGCGAGTTAACTCACGCTCATGGTATGACTTCGCTCGAGATCGAGATGGTTTCCCAGTTAAAACAACAACAGCCTAGCGGAGGATACCGCACTTGGACACCATGGGAATAATTCTGGTCAACAGGTTGACATCCTGCGAATACCCAGTTATAAACTGTTGTACAGTGAAAACACTTTAATCCGGAATAAGGAATCGTGTATGAAGTAATTGCAACCTGGAATTCATTCAACCAAAGCTGGATTATTAAGGACACATCCTTCCACAGCAGGTTCAGTGGCACATTCGTTATGTTTGATATATGATCTGGAGTCATATCAATTTCGACCACATTCCATGTATGTATGCTATGAGAGTGGAATCGAAATGGCCATCAACTGGTCCAATGAATCTGGTCCAGTGAGATGATGACCTTTGTAAAGCCTTGTAAGCTATCCCTTTAACCAACGTAGCATACAAATTCGTGAATACCTTTCAAAATGATGGACGTAAATATATAATTAACTTTAATGCTAGTTACCAGTTCATGTGATCATTGAAGGACAATAGAGTTAAACCGTTAAACATTTTGTTTTGCTACATGGTTAGTAGGGTGACCCAGTAGCAGGTCAGGGTCCGATTACCGACACAGGTACAGTGTGTGAAGACCATTTCGTCGTGATATCGCTGGAATATGGCACAAGCGGGGTAGAACCATACTTACTCACTGACACACTGCAATGTGATCAATATTGGCCGAAGTAACTGGTCATCATGATTGCAAGCCCGACCAAAATGTCATATAACCGTATGCTAAATATTTTCAAAGGAAACGTATGGATAAGCGTCGAATTTCGGCAAAAGAGGGTAACTAATTTGGGGAACTCACCCTTTAAAAAAGACGGCCTTTCAAATGCGAATGATGGTTTGATTGTAAGGCGTGTGTATTTAGCTGGATGCTCTTCTTAGGATAGTATAGACAGAATTTGATAATAAATACAGTTCGTGGAAAAACAGCAAAATGAAAATAATGGCCGTATATTTTTATGTATCTCTTTCTAACACTCGAATGTAGTATAGTGTTGTATGTAATGTGTTTATTTTGCTACAGAAATGAGGCAGTGGCTGATGTCTGCATAACGCCGTTTGGCGGGACTATAATGCGATTCGCGGGTCAAGAGCAGTTTTATGTTCAGTCAACCATGATCTCTCTTTCGGCACAATCAGGTATGTCTGTACACGCTGAAGGCGCATTGGTGATGACACACACAGTAAAAGTGTAATATTACAAGTCCTTATTTGCATGTTTGTTTCTTAATCTGATGCACAATGGTTATTGCCGATGGATGCTATATAGAAGTCAAGTCTGTAACGGATGGAACCGCCTCCACGGTGAAATGAATAGAGAGTCTGCCCGGAAGTGAGGACGTTCATCGCGGCCGCGCCCGACCAAACGACGTTAAAAAGATGGTACTTCTTGTCATTCGCCTGGCGCTCGGTATTAACGGGATGGACAAGGACTGTATCGGAGTCAGCATACTTTCTCTGAGTTGGGTATGGATGTTGATCCGCGACATAGTATATCAGTGGGCTAGCACTATGAAACATCTCATAAGATATATGAGTGAATAATCTTTAACGTGATGCTCAACTCCATTTCACAAAGATATTTCCACTTATCGGATACTAGGGCAAACGGTTTGCCTATCTTGCTCATCGTTGTCAGAGCTCTTTCATCAGTGGAGGCGTGGCAGAACAAAAAGTACTTTTTTGACGACGCATACAGGTGAGCTTCGTGTTATATGAGGTAAATTTGTATCAAGTACCGTTATTCTAGACAAAGATTCGTGGCGTCTTGTGTCTGTGACGTGTAATACGTTTCTACTCAGGAATTTACCCCGTTTGTGATTATACCAGTGACATTTTGTCGTTTTCATGAATTTGGTAGAAAAGAAAATATCCTCTCGTATAGTACTATGCTATTAAACAATGCGCATGTAAGAGTTAGTTAAGTTCTAAATATGATATACTTTGTTAATAATCATATGAATACGAAATGTTATACTCTACGCACCGACGTAGATTATATAAACGATGTTTACCATATATAAAGTGAACAGAACTCCAGTGTTGGATGACACTCTCAAAAGAGTTCTATCAAAAGACATTGCAATAAACTTGACTGATTTCATGAAACAGACAACGACACTGCAACCTTCTAAAGGCTTAAAGTAACAATTGGAGCTGTCCATTGATACGGAAAAATTACTGCAACGGTTATGTCCGCGCTTGTTAATTTGGGCTGAAATGGTCACTGACCCTAACAGTAGGCCGCCTGTTCGATTGTACCACGTGTGTGTTATCAGCTTTAGTGATAAGAGAAGTGTGTTGCCGTTCGTCACAGAATATATCTATGTAGGTCACTCACATTCTCTTCATGTGTGTACGTTTTGAACATTTCAAGTCTGTAAGGGACGGTCGGGTAACCTAGTGGTTAAAGCGTTTGCTCGTCTATCCGAAGACCCTGGTTCGATTCCCGACATATGAAGCCAATTTCTGGTAATTCTTAATTTGCGACGAAACACAAGCACAGATACGTATGTATATGTTTACACAATATTATCTTGGTGAAGATGACAGTTATGCATTGTATCTGACTCTTGCGTTGCTATATATTCGTGTAACATACAGGCTTGTACGGATTTCGGATCATAACAGGTGAAAGTACATGTACCTTATGTGTTGTGGTAGAAACTGACGTGGGGATCAGGTGAAAAGGCTCTGTTACTTGGTTGATTGTTTACCATAGAGACTTGATGACGTGGATCGTTCTTCGTGTTTTCAATCACCATACCGTCCATACTGACTGTTTACAGTTATTTATATGGAATGTTTGTTTTGGTTTGTTTTTACAGCCTTAAACTACATTCTACCATGAATTTGGAATTTACTCGATTCTGATTGGTCAATCAGCTGCTTTTAAATCACAATAAACCCCCTCTGATTGAAACAGCTGGTTTGACGGCCGCTTCATCGCGGAAGCTAATATTCGTAGAATAATACTATTTTCAGTCATTGTCGGTAGGCATATTTAAATAATTATATCTACAATTACAGGTTACAAAATGCACAGATGCGGTTACTACAATATTCAAAGGATGTGTGGCAATACATTTTGTGCAGAAAAACACGACAGAAATCAACAAAGGGAATGTATTTACGTTTTGGAGACAACAGAGAGCTTGGAATTTTGGCGCTCTGCTTTTCTATATATGACTGTGACGTCATATCGTTTGCGTCACAATGAGCGGCATGACGTCGTAATGGTGACGCGCGATGTAGAGCGAAAGCCATGCAAAGCTTGCTTTGTTTACTTTAGGGATGCCCACCTCATGTTTGCTGACCAAGTGGCCGTGCTTATATGCTTTCAATGCCTGTCATATATTCGAGTGAAGTATTACGGTGTAAACAAACTTCTTTACAGCACCATACAGCACCATATTTTGTTCGGTGATTCCGTAATTCAGATCGATAACCCACTCAAAACACTGAACTCAATCCATGACGCTTCACTCAGTATATTTGCTAACACCAAAGAGTTCGCGTTTTATTTAATCATGGTAGAATGGAGATAAACATACTGTGTTTTCAATGTAGAGCTAGGTTACCTCTAGATTTAACTGCGCTCAATTTAACATTTATCTCCTAATTCAGACAATCACTTATAGTTACAAGCAGCCACATTCACTTTCTAGGAAAATGTCACATTGGTATTGTGTAAATGCAGTTTCATAAATTATATAGGTCCGATATACTATCACAGTAAAAATGACACAAGATTCAAAAACGTGTCGGGAGGACAAAATTGACAGAAGCGAACATCTAGTTATGACACCAGATACAAACAAAGGAAAACTGTTTGTGCCGAAGACGGGAGAGGCGGTTGATGGGGGAAACAGTTTGTTGGGAACGGTGACAGAAGAAGGTGGGACTCGAGCTGGAGGAGATGCCGAGAAGCAGAACATGTTGCATGATGGTGGTAATGGCGAGCTACCAGATGACAGTAAACCAGAGCAAGAGGATGATGGTGTACCTATCGATCGTGGATGGGCTTGGGTAGTGTTAGCAGGTGATCGATTGTTCATATTTCTACGTCCATCCAGATAACAGAGACAAATATGTTTGTCAGAGTATAAGATATAGTATTCTGTCATAATCATTCTATCGGGTATTGAATCTTAAGATTAAGAATTCTGGGTTAAATGTGTCTCTTCCTCTTGCATTTTGAAAACAATTAAATTATAATAAAAACACGCCTTGGTAATCACTAATACCATGTTGTATTTTGACCTTCTCCAGGGAGTTTCCTGAATGTTATTTTAATGGCTGGATATGGACGGTCCGTTGCCATGTTCTTTGTGGCATACTTGGAAGAATTCGAGGCATCTGCCACAAAAACAACCTTGTTCATGGGTGTGATGGCAGCGACGTACAGTATAAGTTGTGAGTATTAAACAATACGTGCAAATGTAAACTATTTTGGTAAAGAAAGACATCCTCGTGTTCTTGTATACCGAAGTATACTGATACAAAATGGACATAACTATATTGTTGCAATGATACTTTTATATCATATAATAGAGAAAAATAATCCCTCTCGTATTCCATCTCTACTGACAACATATTCTGACCCTTGTGGTCGTACAAATTAAATATACATACATACATACATACATACATACATACATACATACATACATACATACATACATACATACATATAGTAATAATTAATTAAGTGGAGTAAGATTGAACACAGTTTTAATAGGCTAGCGCTTTCAACTCTCATCAGGCAATAACTGTTAAAACTGTGTTCAATCTTACTCCACTTATTTAATTATTACTATATTGTGCCTGAGAGTTAGAACTAGAACTTTACAGTGCTTTCATATATATATATATATATATATATATATATATATATATATATATATATATATACAGTGTACGAATTTTCCCTATTTTGACACAACCATGTTCTGTATGTCAACAGCTCTCATATCGATGAACATAATTCTGCAACTGCTTGGGGAGAGAAAGACGGTACTTCTTGGTGGGACTATATCAGTTGTAGGAATGCTGACAGGAGTTTTCGCCACCAGTATTACATACCTCATCTGCACTCACAGTATTCTCACTGGTGCGTAAACTATACATGTTCACGAATCCATAATAGCACAGAAAAATAATTGATGGCTCAAGTGAATGCATTCATATGGGATTTTGTAACATTAGGTCTCTTTATATGATCATTATCTATACATATATGTTTATAAACTGTTTACTCCTGCACCTTATTCCTAAATGTTAGATTTTATTGAAGGCTTGCAACGGCATAACAAGGTCATGCAGGTCTTGAACATTTAGAAATATACTGGAAAATCGAGCAAAGAATTTTGGCATGAGAAAGAGACATAAGGCTCCATAGACATTTTCAGATTGAAGCACGATGTGTCATATTTAATATAACTATGTAGGCTGTATTGAAGGATGTTTATTATCATGTAAAACTATAAGGAACTCGAACAAGACATCAGTGATATTTGATAATGAATAATTTACTTTCAGGTATAGGGCATTCCATGATTCATGCTCCAGCATTGGTATTGATCGGAAAGTACTTCAAGAAGAGAAGAGGCATTGCCACAGCAGTTGCCATGTCTGGAATTAGTATTGGGGGCAGCGTTTTCCCACCCCTCGTTCGTTTCTTATTAGATGAATATGGTGTCAGAGGAAGTATGTTGATCCTAACAGGACTGACAATGAACATGTGGGTCGGGGCTGCGTTGTTTAGACCATTAAGTTTCTTTCATAAAAGGATACCAAAAAACCCATCTGTCATGAGTGAAGGGCGAAAACATGACCAAAGACATGGCATTGAAAAACATGGGAATGAACATGATGTGGTTCGAGTATGTTCTGTTAAGGAACTAACTAGTGTTAATGGTGGACAAGCAGTGGTCACATTTGCGAGTCAATCAAATAGAGGAAAGGGACAGACAAGTGCAATTATCCGCAAAAGTGCAAGACCAGAATCAGTTGTCAGCATTGAATCACAAGTAGATTCCCGCTCAGAAAGCCAGATTAGATTGTACACAAGTAACCCAGATTTGACATCAATGTCAATGGTGGATATTACAGAAATCAATGCTGAATCATTTGACAATGAACAGGAATCAAAAGAAGCCAAAAGTTGTGGCATGTATGTGAAACGAGCATTATCAACATTTGACTTTTCCTTGTTGAAGCAGCCAATGTTTCAGTTGATTGTTGCATGTGCTCATTTTGGGGTAATATTTAGATTGGTTGGAATCTACCTTCCTGCCCTGGCAAAGGAAAAGGGCATCTCACAAACAGATGCAGCATATTTGTTGACTTTGTCGTGTGTTCTGGATTTCTTCAGCAGACTTGCTGTCGGGTTTGTCGCCGATCTCAAATACATTAAAATAAATCATTTGATGGTTATTGGAATGCTTATATCTGGAATGGCAACACAGTTTGTCTATTTTTTCAACACGTATGCTCTTCTCGTCGTATTCTCTGTGATTGTCGGACTCTTTGGCAGTTTTTATCACTGCCTTATTCCTGTTGCCATTGTCGACTTCATGGGACTTGAATACATGGCGAAGGTTCTTGGATTTATAGCTGTGTTCCACGGTTTAGCCAGATCCGTGACGCATCCGATCATGGGTAAGATCCTCATTCTGTATTTTATGTTATTAATGTTATGCTGCAATGGATCATCAGTATTCACGGAGTTACTAGCTCAACAGCAGTGTTAAACATACATATAGTAGTAACATTGATAAAAGTGAGGGAATACAGCTTCTACACAAGCAGGAACCGTCTATACACTCTAATAATAACTTGTAAATGCTTCCATGAAATTTGGTTAGCAAACCATGCATAATACAGAAATATATTGACTAATAATAAGGTGATGCATTCTTGCGCTGAACGATGTCACCAATTTCGTCTACAATCTGTTAGTGATATTGAGTAAATACTAAGAACTGTCTGAAGCTATTCGAATTTACAATGTTCACATCAGGTTTTAGGTTTATACATCCAAAAACGAAACAGAGTGAAGACAGTTCTTAATACATAAAAAAGTATGTAATGGTAAAATATTATGAATGTCATTAAAAAGAAATATTGGCCCATTTCAACAAACAGTCATTAGCAAGTGATTCAAGTTAAAAGTATTTTGTTTTGAACTGCAAATATGTCTGACAATAATTTTCATTATATATTATGCAAATAAAGGAGGAGACAGTGTGAGTCATCAAGACATATGTTCTCAACTGTATGATATTGGCAAATGGGAGTGATATGATCTTATCTATTAAGGGGTAGGCGATCACATCATGTGGGCTCTAGTGGTTGGTGTGGGATAGTGGCGTACGACGTCGTTCATGAGGTCAGGGGTCAAATTCGAAATTTGCACTTTGCGCTTTGCAGTCAACGTCACTCATGCCGGGAACAACCAACTCTGTTGGCCAGAAATGCACGAGTTATTCGAGGCAGAACTTCTGATAATGTCGACAAATGTCAGATTGGCTCGTGTTGTTCCACTCATAAGTGACAGCTGCACCGAGTTCATTTAGACTGGTCGGTGGATTGTGACGTTGACGCACACGTCTGCCAATAACGTCCAGACGTGTTTAATGGTGGAAAGGTCGGGACTGGGTGCTGGCCATGGCATTTCATGGATGTTTTGCAGTTGGACGAATTAGATCATAATGATTAAATCATGTGTTTGATATAGGGTCTTTGAGCGTTTGATTCCAGGAAAACAATATGCGTCTGCTCACAACCGAGTCTGAGTGAGAATAGTAAATCTGATATACCACCCCCTTCAACGTGCTGTCCAGGGTCAAGTGCTTCATGCCGTTCACAATGCTATGTGTTAGGATTGATTTCTTCTGAAATAATTTTTGCCACATCACTTGCTTTCATTGCCAGACATTGGCGTAGTTTTCTGTAGTTTCACCACATTGTTTGGAATACGGGTCCAAAATCAGATTACCAGTGCTGGTCATAGTCCAACATACTTCAGTTGTAAATACGTTCCGGCACAATTTGTGATTGCTTGTCATCACATCTTCCCGAATCAACGGACATTACTGACGTTTGTAGGCTGGACGTTTGAAGTTTGATTAGCAATCAAAATCGCATTACAAAATCGACATCATGGTCGTAAACAACATTGTGACTGTCGTGTTGCTCCACTCCAGAATTTGCAAAGCATGTGTAACGTCTGGACGTCGGAAGATGCTTTCCAAACTTGCTTTATAATCAACGTGTACTCCACGCTCAACGTGCTACATTCAACATGCACTGGGTGTCTGAGACAGGATATGTGAGACTTTTCTTCGATTAACTTGCTCGGATCGACTGTACACCGACATTTTGTTTGAAGCAGATGAAAGTTATATGAGAGGTGAAGTCCAATCTGTCAATATGAGGGACATAAAAGTGACATAACTCGTTACAGCCACTGGTTCAGTTAGGGTAGAAACTGGACTTTTAAGGACATATTACCCGGGTCATTATTACCGAGTTAGGCGTACATAACTGACCCACGTCTCCATTAACTTCGGTACCAATACTGGTTATGTTAGTCTGTAATAGCGATTGTTACATGGAACGTTTAAAATCTTTGTTCAAATCTGACAACGTTGTGACACAAATGTCCTGCGTATTGTTGTTACAGAGACCATCCTTGACCTGACCAGTTCATACACTGAGGGACATAGAAATGACATAACTCGTTATAGCCACTGGTTCAGCTAGGGTGGAAACTGGACTTTTATAGACAATTAACTGCCTTGTCTCGGAAGATGTTGTCATTATTACCCGAGTTAATAATTTAGTCAGAAGTGTTAAAATTATATTGCTGGGTAAGGCGTTTAATTACTTAAATCCATTTTATTTAGTACCACAACTGGTTATGTTAGACTGTATTAGCTATTGTTAAATGGAACGTTTAAAATCTGACAACGTTGTTACTCTAATGTCCTGCTGCGTATTGTTTTTACAGGGACAATCCGTGACCTGACCAGTTCATACAACCTTTGTTTCACCTACATTGGAATATGTAACTTCATAGCTGCAATATTTCTATTTTGTGTACCGCTCGTCAGAGGTCGGGCGAACAGAATGAAGTCACAGAGCTCCCATAAGAACATTGAAGAAAACCGACCACTGAAAGGCATCTGATGTATCAAGGACGTTTTATGCATCTATAAACGTTGAATAAACTGTTTTACAAAGACACATGCCTCATGTCTGTGCATTGAACTCGTATCTTTATATCATGTGCGAGTGTTATGTTTATATTTAAATTTGTGAAACAGGCATTTTATGTATTATAATATGTATAACACAAATAATACCACTTTTGATGTATTCATTTGTCATTGGGAAACCCATATACGTGTCCAGTGTTATTTATTAGCTGAGAATGAATGTTGTAGCATACTCCATAATAGAGTATTCTATATATTACTCTGTGTAACTGATGAATGAACCATCACTTAAGACAGCCTATTGTTTGGGTGACGTATTTGTACCAGTTTGTGATACATTATCATTAATAATGGATGACGTTATACTTCTGTGCACAAAATTGGATAAAGTAAGGTCATATTGCTTTAATGGACAAGTGAGAATTAAAAATCGCTGAAATGTCATTTCGGAAATATTTTAGCATTTGCTCAAAATACAATGGAGGCTATAGTACGGAGCCAGGTATGTGCATGTAATGTTTCTTATATAGCTAGACCACCTACCCACATTACTAAGGAGCCACGAATAGATTAAAGGTCACTTGCCGTTTCATACTCCCCCATGGTCTCATTTCTCAAACAAAAAAAACAACAAACCCTCCAATATAATTGACTGTTGAAAGTTAAGCACTCTTGACAGACAGAGATAATCATGTATGTGTGTTGAAACGGTCATTCAGGCAGTTTTTATGAGTCGCAAATAGTTAATGAAGCAAGTACAAGACAATGCGATAAATTTTTACTTTCAGAGTATCAACTTCTTCCGAAAACGCCAAAGACATTTGCTGATGTTGCAAACAAACAGGTCATTCATACCAGCTTATACCAGGTTTTATAATATAAGTTTCGTGTTAAGAATTGCTGCGTATTAAATCGCTTGTGCCACATTTAATGATAATGATGTTTACGTTTGTTTGTTTCAAGGTCTCAGTAAAGCTTTTAGGTTTTATGGTAGAGTTGTGGAGGACATTTCCAAATTTGACGCATCAGTATAAAAATAATGTTTGATGCAATTCCCTATTTTGACTCGTACCTCGTGTATTTTTTTGGATTATAATTAACTTCCCATTGCCAGGTTTTATGATACGTTTCGTGTAAATACCCATCTGATTAAACATCAAGAGCTTTGTTATATAAACTAAGCATAAACTTTACCATATTGAACTTTACTTTTGGAAGATGTTTCAGAAGATGTTTTTCAGAAGATGTTTGCCTCTTGACCACATATCACAATGCGGCTTCTGTGTGTTATCTGCAAATTGCTTACATTGCTCAATTGGACTGAATTACTGAAATCTTGTGGATGTTTCGGTTTCCTTCTGAATCCAAAATGTGATCACACGTGCCTGTCGACTTAGGGAAATTGATACCATAGAGCATTAATTATGTATTAAATTTGATTAATATTTATCAGAACTTTAAATTTTGTTCGTTTTTTTTCAGAAAAAGGGACCTGATGTTACCTCCTCCTTTCAACACACTTTATGTTTGTCTCTTTTTTTAGTCATCATATCTGTCAGAAACGATTTGGAACGATTAATCCAAGTGATATTGTCATAAATCTGGAATAAGGAGTTTTATTTCGTCATACACTTTGTGTTAAATAATCATTAAAAGATGTCGTCATGAGTAAGAAGGAGGTCGTCGCCAAAGCAAAGAGTAAATAATTAAGTGCCTACCAAGTTAGATGTTTGGTTACGGAAGAAGAAAAAGATAGTGATCTTTATTTAAGTGTCATATACATTTTAGGTAGATATTACAATGCCCGATCAACATGACCTATGAGACACAAAAGGCTTTAAGAATATTAAACGATGTATAAATATATAATAGAAACACTAAAATTGAAAACAAAATCATCGATATATTCCAATCTGCTGCATGTATCCATACTCATACCCGCATACATGCAGCCCCACTCTCCTCCCCACCCAACATACATACACACCCATCTCACTCTAGGTAATCGTGTACCAAACCTCGTGTGATCGTACTCAGAATGGTAATACCCCACTTTAGGTCGTTAATAACGTCAGCCAAGTCATTACGAAAAAAAAGATCATAAGGTTGGTGACATCGCGCAACTTTACGCAACCATGAATATAAAATTCATTCGTTAATTTCAATAAAATGACAATTTCAGAAACTCTTGACCAACTTGTTTCATACAAAAATTTAACATCGAAGTAGAAATTACCATCTACAACCAATTTGTATAGTTCATACCAGAAACAGTCACGTTGGATTTGAAATCTTCTATTACGTTAATATGGCACACAAATGTAAGAATGTCTGGATGCTCATAGCATACGGTTGTTGATTGTTGTATACAGCGTAAAATCTGCCATGACAGTCAAACATTGAACGGGTATATTCTCAAATCATATCGCTCACTAAAACAATATGAAACATCACTCACGGCATGACATTTTGCGAGTTTACTCACGCTCATGGTAACTTCTCTCGAGAACAAGATGGTTTCCCAGTTAAAACAACAACAGCCCAGCGGACCAAGCATCAAAGAATACCGCACTTGGACACCATGGGAATAATTTTGGTCAACAAGTTGACGTCCTGCCAATACCCAGTTATAAACTGTTGTACAGTGAAAACACTTTAATCCGAAATAAGGAATGGTGTATGAAGTAATTGCAACCTGGAATTCATTCAACCAAAGCTAGATTCTAAAGGACGCAACCTTCCACAACAGGTTCAGTGGCACATTCGTTATGCTTGATATATGATCTGGAGTCATATCAATTTCGACCCCATCCCATGTATGTATGCTATGAGAGTGGACTCGAAATGGCCATCAACTGGTCCAATGAATCAGTGAGACGATGACCTTTGTAAAACCTTGTAAGCTATCCCTTTAACCCACGTAGCATACAAATTCGTGAAAACCTTTCCAAATGATGGACGTACATATATAATTAATTTTAATACTAGTTACCAGTTCGTGTGGTCACTGAAGGACAATAGTGTTAAACCGTTAAACATTTTGTTTTGTTACATGGTTAGTAGTGTGGCCCTTTGTGTTGGCTCGTTAAGTCGAAGGTCAGGGTCCCATTACAGAAACAGGTACAATGTGTGAAGACCATTTCGTCGTGTTATTCCTGGAATATGGCACAAGCGGGGTAGAACCATACTGACTCACTGCAATGTGATCGATATTGGCAAGAGTAACCACTCATCATGATTGCAAGCCCGACCAAAATGTCATATGACCGTATGCTAAATATTTGCAAAGGGAACGTATGGATTAGCGTCGAATTTCGGGAAAGAGGGTAACTTATTTGGGGAACTCACCCTTTTAAAAAGACGGCCTTTCAAATGCGAATGATGGTTAGATTGTAAGGCATGTGTATTTAGTTGGATGTTATTCATATGCTATTATAGGCAGAATTTGATTACAACTACATTCCGTGAAAAAAATAATGGCTATATATTGTTCCCATTCGCTTGGCGCTCGGTATTACAAGGACGATGTTCAAAGACTGCATTGGAGTCTTTTTTAGAGAATAGTCTTTAACGCGACGTTAAACTCCATTTCACACAAATATTTCCAGTTATCGGACACTAGGGCAAACGGTTTACCTATAAATAGCACGTTGGACATCTTGCTCAGCGTTGTCAGAGCTTTTTCATCAGTGGAGGCGTGGCAGAACAAAAAATACTTTTAGACGACACATACAGGTGAGCTTCGTGTTATATGAGGTAAATTTGTATTAAGTACCTTTATACTAGACAAAGATTCGTGGTGTCTTGTGTCTGTGACGTGTTATATGTTCCTTCTCAGGAATTTACCCCGTTTGTGATTATACCAGTGACATTTGGTAGAAAAGAAAATATCCTCTCGCATATTACTATGCTATTAAACAATGCGCATGTAAGAGTTAGTAAAGAACTAAATATTATTTACTTTGTTAATAATGATAATATGAATACGAGATGTTATACTCTACGCACTGAGTCGACGTAAATTATAAAAACGATGCTCACAATATATAAAGTGAACAAATCACGTGAGTGTTGGAAGACACTCTAAAAAGAGTTCAATCAAAAGACAATACAATAAACTTGACTGATTTCATGAAACAGACAACGATACTGCAACCTTCAAAAAGCTGAAAGTAACAACTAGAGCAATGCATTGTGACGGACAAACAACTGCAACGATTATGTCCGAGCTTGTTACTTTAGGCTGACGAGGTATTGTTAATCTCTGACCCTAACAGTAGGCCGCCATTTCGATTGTACCACGTGTGTTATCGGCTTGGCGATAAGAGAGTGTGTGTGTGGCCGTCAGTCACTGAATATATATATATGTAGGTCACTCACATTCTCTTCATGTGTGTACATTTTGAGCATTTCCAGACTATAAGGGGCGGTCGGGTAGCCTAGTGGTTAAAGCGTTTCCTCGTCAATCCGAAGACCCGGGTTCGATTCCCGACATGGGTACAACGTGTGAAGCCAATTTCTGGTTTCCCCCGTCGTGATATTGCTGGAATATGGCTAAAAGCCGTGTAAAGCCATACTCACTCACTCACTTAGTCTGTGAAGACACTTTGTGACTATACACAAGCACAGACACGTATTATCTGGTTACACAATATTATCGTGGTGAAGATGACAGGTATGCATTGTATCTGACTCTTGCGTTGCTAGATATTCGTGTAACATACAGGCTTGTACGGATTTCGGATCATAATAGGTGAAAGTACCTTATGTGTTGTGGTAGAAACTGACATGGGTATCAGGTGGAAAGGCTCTGTTACTTGGTTGATTGTTTACCATCGAGACTTGATGACGTGGATCGTTCTTCGTGTTTTCAATAATCATACCGTCCATACTGTTTACAGTTATTTATATGGAATGTTTGTTTTTGCAGCCTTAAACTACATTCACACAATCACTGATAGTTACAAGCAGCCACGTTCACTTTCTAGGAAAGTGTCACATTGGTATTGTGTAAATGCAGTTTCATAAATTATATAGGTCCGATATACTATCACAGTAAAAATGACACAAGAATCAAAAACGTGTCGGGAGAACGAAATTGACAGAAGCGAACATCTAGTTATGACACCAGATACAAACAACGGAAAACTGTTTGTGCCGAAGACGGGAGAGGCGGTCGATGGGGGAGACAGTTTGTTGGGAACGGTGACAGAAGAAGGTGGGACTGGAGCTGGAGGAGATGCCGAGAAGCAGAACATGTTGCATGATGGTGGTAATGGCGAGCTACCAGATGACAGTAAACCAGAGCAAGAGGATGGTGGTGTACCTATCGATCGTGGATGGGCTTGGGTAGTGTTAGCAGGTGATCGATTGTGCATATTTCTACGTCCATCCAGATAACAGAGACAAATATGTTTGTCAGAGTATAAGATATAGTATTCTGTCATAATCATTCTATTGGGTATTGAATCTTAAGATTAAGAATTCTGGGTTAAATGTGTCTCTTCCTCTTGCATTTTGAAAACAATTAAATTATTTAAAAAAACACGCCTTGGTAATCACTGATACCACGTTGTATTTTGACCTTCTCCAGGGAGTTTCCTGAATGTTATTTTAATGGCTGGATATGGACGGTCCGTTGCCATGTTCTTTGTGGCATACTTGGAAGAATTCGAGGCATCTGCCACAAAAACAACCTTGTTCATGGGTGTGATGGCAGCGACGTACAGTATAAGTTGTGAGTATTAAACAATACGTGCAAATGTAAACTATATTGGTAAAGAAAGACATCATCGTGTTCTTCGAAGAATACTGATACAAAATGGACATGAATATATTGTTATAATGATACTTTATATATATATATATATATATAATTTGTACGACCACAAGGGTCAGACCACAAGGGTCAGAATATATACGAGAGGGATTATTTTGGTACATGATATATATACAGTGTACGAATTTTCCCTATTTTGACACAACCATGTTCTGTATGTCAACAGCTCTCATATCGATGAACATAATTCTGCAACTGCTTGGGGAGAGAAAGACTGTACTTCTTGGTGGGACAATATCAGTTGTAGGAATGCTGACAGGAGTTTTCGCCACCAGTATTACATACCTCATCTGCACTCACAGTATTCTCACTGGTGCGTAAACTATACATGTTCAGGAATCCATAATAGCACAAAAAAATAATTGATGGCTCAAGTGAATGCATCCATATGGGATTTTTTAACTTGAAGCCCCTTTATATGATCATTATCTATACATATATGCATATAAACTGTTTACTCCTGCACCTTATTCCTAAATGTATGATTTCACTGAAGGCTTGAATAAATGGGACACACTCTGTAAAAAATAGTTCAGTGATGCAACAGCGTAACAAAGTGATGCAGGGCTTAAACATTTAGAAATATACTGGAAAAACGAGCATAGAATTCTGGCATGAGAAAGAGACATAAAGCTTCATAGACATTATCTTGAAGAAAACATCAATTTATATTTGACAATGAATAATATACTTTCAGGTATAGGGCATTCCATGATTCATGCTCCAGCATTGGTATTGATCGGAAAGTACTTCAAGAAGAGAAGAGGCATTGCCACAGCAGTTGCCATGTCTGGAATTAGTATTGGGGGCAGCGTTTTCCCACCCCTCGTTCGTTTCTTATTAGATGAATATGGTGTCAGAGGAAGTATGTTGATCCTAACAGGACTGACAATGAACATGTGGGTCGGGGCTGCTTTGTTTAGACCATTAAGTTTCTTTCATAATAGGATACCAAAAAACCCATCTGTCATGGGTGAGGGGCGAAAACATCACCAAAGACATGGCATTGAAAAACATGGGAATGAACATGATGTGGTTCGAGTATGTTCTTTTAAGGAACTAACTTGTGTTAATGGTGGACAAGCAGTGGTCTCATTTGCGAGTCAATCAAACAGAGGAAAGGGACAGACAAGTGCAATAATCTGCAAAAGTACAAGACCAGAATCAGTTGTCAGCATTGAATCACAAGTAGATTCCCTCTCAGAAAGCCAGATTAGATTGTACACAAGTAACCTAGATTTGACATCAATGTCAATGGTGGATATTACAGAAGTTAATGCCGAATTATTTGACAATGAACAGGAATCAAAAGAAGCCAAAGGTTGTGGCATGTATGTGAAACGAGCATTATCAGTATTTGACATTTCCTTGTTCAAGCAACCAATGTTTCAGTTGATTGTTGCATGTGCTCATTTTGGCATCATATTTAGATTGGTTGGAATCTATCTTCCTGCCCTGGTAAAGGAAAAGGGCATCTCACAAGCAGATGCAGCATATTTGTTGACTTTGTCGTATGTTCTGGATTTCTTCAGCAGACTTGCTGTCGGGTTCGTCGCCGATCTCAAATACATCAAAGTTAATCATTTGATGATTATAGGAATGCTGATATCTGGAATGGCAACACAGTTTGTCTATTTTTTCAACACGTATGCTCTTCTCGTCGTATTCTCCGTCACTGTCGGACTCTTTGGCAGTTTTTATCACTGCCTTATTCCTGTTGCCATTGTCGACTTCATGGGACTTGAATACATGGCGAAGGTTCTTGGATTTTTAGCTGTGTTCCACGGTTTAGCCACATCCGTGACGCATCCGATCATGGGTAAGATCCTCATTCTGTATTTTATGTTATTAATGTTATGTTGAAATGGACCATCAGCATTCATGGAGTTATTGGCTCAACAGCACTGTTAAACGTACATACAGTAGTAACATTGATCAACGTAGGGGAATTCAGCTTGTACACAAGCACGAACCGTCTATACACTAAACCATGCAAAATACAGAAATATATTCACTGATAATAAGGTGGGTGGGGCTTGCGATACGTTCTTGCGCTGAACTATGTCACCAATTTCGACTACAATCTGGTGATATTCATTAAATACCAAGAGGTCTGTCTGAAGCTATTCGAATTTACAAGGTTCACATCAGGTTTTAGGTTTATACATCCAAAAACGAAACAGATTGAAGTCAGGTCTTAATATACGAATGTGCTGACATACTTCAGTTGTAAATACGGTCAGGCACAGTGATTTGTCTGATTGCTTGTCATCACATCTTCCCGAAGCAACGGACATTACTGACTATAACAGTCCAGTTTCCACCTTACTGAAGTAGGCTGGACGTTTGAACAACGTTTGACGCATAACAAAATCGACATCATGTTCGTAAACAACATGGCGACTGTCGTGTTTGGTCCACTCCAGAATTTGCAAAGCATGTGTACCGTCTGGGCGTTGGCAGATGCTTTCTAATTTGTTCATGTTTATAATCAACGGGTACTACACCTCTCAACGTGCTACATTCCACATGCACTTGGTGTCTGAGACTTTTCTTCGATTAACTTTATAGGATCGTCTTGACTAGACACCGAAGCAAATGCAAGTTATAGAAGAGGTGAAGTCCAATTTGTCAATATGAGGGACATAGAAATGACATAACTCGTTATAGCCACTGGTTCAGCTAGGGTGGAAACTTGACTTTTATAGACAGTTAACTGCCTTGTCTCGGAATATGTTGTCATTATTACCCGAGTTAATAATTTAGTCAGAAGTGTTAAAATTATATTGCTGGGTTAGGCGTTTAATTACTTAAATCCATTTTATTTAGTATCACAACTGGTTATGTTAGACTGTATTAGCTATTGTTAAATGGAACGTTTAAAATCTTTGTTCAAATCTGACAACGTTGTTACTCTAATGTCCTGCTGTGTATTGTTGTTACAGGGACAATCCGTGACCTGACCAGTTCATACAACCTTTGTTTCACCTACATTGGAATATGTAACTTCATAGCTGCAATATGTCTACTTTGTGTACCGCTCGTCAGAGGTCGGGCGAACAGAATGAAGTCACAGAGCTCCCATAAGAACATTGAAGAAAACCGACCACTGAAAGGCAACTGATGTATCATGAACGTGTTGTGCATCTATAAACGTTGAATAAACTGTTTTACTGATACACATGCCACATGTCTGTGCATTGCACTCGTATCTTTATATTATGTGCGAGTGTTATGTTTATATTTAAATTTGTCAAACTGGCATTTTATGTTATAATAATTATAACTCAAATGATACAACTATTGATGTATTCATATGCCGCCGGGAAGCCTATATATATATATATATATATATATATATATATATATATATATATATATATATATATATATATATGTCCAGTGTTATTTATTAGCTGTCTGTTGTGAATGAATGGTGTAGTATACTCCATAATTGAATATTCTATACATTACTCTGTGTCATTGATGAATGAAAATGAAGAGAAAAACGTATGAAACGTTAACTCTAAAATGAACCATCACTGAAGACAGCCTATTGTTTGGGTGACGTATTTGTATCAGTTTGTGATACATTATCATTAATAATGTATGACGTTATACTACTCTGCACAAAATTGGATAAGGTAAGGTGTTATTGCTTTAATGGACCAGTCAGAATTGAAAATCGCTGATATGTTATTTCAGGACGATTTTAGCATTTGCTCAAAATACAATGGAGGCTATGGAACAGATATGTGCATGTCATGTTTCTTATATAGCTAGACAACCTACCCACAGTATTTAAGGAGCCACGAACAGATTAAAGGTCACTTGCCGTTTCATACTCCCCCATTGTCTCATTACTCAAACAAAATAATGTCCTTCCCACCCTCCGATATAAAAAACTGTTGAAAGCCTGAGATAATCGTGTATGTGTATTGAAACGGTCATTCAGGCAGTTTTTATGAGGCGCAAATAGTTAATGAAGCAAATACAAGACAATGCGATAAAAATTTTACTTTCAGAGTATCAACTTCATCCGAAAACGCCAAAAAAACATTTGCTGATGTTGAAAACAAACAGGTCATTCATACCAGCTAGTACCAGGTTTTATAATAAGTTTCGTGTTAAGAATTGCTGCGTTTAAAATCGCTTGTGCCACATTTAATGATAATGATGTTAACGTTTGTTTGTTTCAAGGTCTCAGTAAAGCTTTTAGGTTTTATGGTAGAGTTGTGGAGGACATTTCCAAATTTGACGCATCAGTATAAAAATTATGTTTGATGCAATTCCCTATTTTGACTCGTACCTGACGCCGGTGGGACAGGGAACGATTACATTTTCACGAACACCTGGTAACATCACTATTTGATAGTGATTTATAAATACAAGCTCATAATCGGAATCGAACAATCGACAAATATTTCTTATAAATATGGAAAGGTCTTTGTAGCTCTTGATTGTTTATTTGTGAATATGTTTAACAATAAGCTGAAACCTTGTGCTAATGAAATCCAAAATTTCTTTGGGATAATGAATAAACACATTTACATATTACACTTAAAATAGATCCTATGATGATATAGGGATGACTTACCAGACACTTCATCATAAGACATTCATAGGCATTGAGGTGCGGTCGGGTAGCCTAGTGGTTAAAGCGTTCCCTCGTCACGCAAAAGACCCCGGTTCGATTCCCGACATGGGTACAACGTGTGAAGCCAATTTTTGGTGTCCCTCCCACTGGAATATTGCTAAAAGCGGCGTAAAACCATACTCACTCACTCACTCATAGGCATTGAACGTAGACAGTAGACAACTCAAATCAGTGCAGCTTTGTAATTATACTTGTAGATAACGTCATTTAGTTGAAGTTAGTTTTGAGAAGGAAGGAGAAAAGGTAAAGATAATCGACTTGAGGATTGTGCGAATATGCGGGAAATACCAAACTTAACCCACCAGTGAACGGACTTGTCCGATATTTCCGAGTTCGGATTCTATTCAGGAAGGCATCCTTTTTAAAATTTGGGTTAAAATTTTTAAAGCTTGTCCTTTTTATCAACATACCTAAAAGGGCTGTACAAAATGTAGATATCTCATACAAGAAACAAACGACTCGTCGTCCTTGTTGATCTACAGGGAGAAAACACTTACTCGGGGCTGCACCCCGCATGGTTTATTCTCCCTGTAGTGTTTTATTGTACTATAAACAACTCCCACTCGTCATATATTTCTTAAACACTGTGAATGTTCTAATGTGACTTTCAAAATTTGTATTTCCTCAGTGAACAAACATGTACTGATAATGATGAATGCCGTACATTTTGGCCTCATTGATAGTGAAGGTACAAAGGTGAGAGGTTTCACGAGCAGAGAATACGTACGACACAGACCATTTGTCCAAATGGATTATGATGAAGGGTTGCCAGCGGACCGGTGTGGGACTGCAGGCGGACCTGAACGCCTCGGTGGAGGATTTTAGCATCGATATTATTGGAGCAAACAGCAATGAAGAAGAGGATGCATTTGTCCGGAACAGGCTTGCTAAGATACACCAACGCAACGTCGGTGAATAGGGACACGTGGAGACGCCTGTTTCAAAAACTACGGATGTCCAGACGGATGGAACTGATGACAGTCATCTCTCCATAGATCAAGGCTGGTCATGGATGATGCTAGCGGGTTTATAGTACATTTATGCTGTGACTTTATAAGAAAACTTTTGACGTCAACGTAATTTCGTGAAAATCACCTTGTGTACATGTGTTCACTCTATAAAACTTTTTTTTTTTCTCTCGTTTGTTCGTAATGTTATGAAACATTATTCCAAACCATATCAGTATACCTGCATACTTCCGATCAATAAGACATGGTATCTAAAAACTGCTATCGTTCTATAAACAGTTTTAAGTCTGAAAATGGGACTTAGCAGAAAATGAAATGTTTGAAGTAATGTATCTCTGTAATGAATATGAATCGAAGCTTATAAACTGTGTTTCTTGTAGTCCTAAGATACCACAGTTGTGTCAAATTGTGATTTTTAACCCATAAGGTTCTTTATTACATGGTTGGTCACATGTGTTGTATTTTAGGTATCACCTGTATGTGTATCGTAGTGGATATCCGCATAGGTATTGAAAGCATCCACATAATACGGTTTCCTGTTCCAGCGCTCATATCCATGCATGTCCTGGTAGACCTTGGCGTCAGGAAGACAGTGATGCTTGGAGCAACGGTAATGGCTATCTTCCCCACAAGCATTACTTACCTGATTTGTACACACAGTGTGTTCATCGGTAAGTCTAAATTTAGTTGATTGCTTGTCACCGTGTGGATCTAGGCACTTACTACCGGTTTGTCTGTGCCAGTATCGATTGTTTAAAAACAACCATTATATCGATGGAATATTGCTGTGTACTGTGCTTATCATCAAATAGATGACACATCATATTCATAAAGAAATGGTTTATGTCATCACATGCATCATATTTCTGTGACACAATTGGCAGTGTCGTTGCGCTTATTTGCCGACCCAAGAACTACTGCTTGGCGGTGAAACACCATATTAATTTCTACGACCTTGTGGTACTAGGTGATTTCCCAAATAAAACGCAGAATCTGTAAGTGTCCACTCAAGATCAATGAATAATCAATGAATTAGTGGTAGGTTTGCAATATAACAAGGCAATACCATGGGACAAATTCGTGTACAAATAACATGGCTTAACATGAGTTAAAGCATCACCAATGTCTTGAATTTTGATACTGTTAAATGCTTCCATTCGGTCATGTTTGTCACAAAGCAGCGGTAGATAACTCTAATCTCTTCCACAACAGCATTTCACATTTTACCAACGTTTCCGACAGTTACTGCTACCGACAATAACGACAAACAAATTTACTAAATTTTTATTCTGCCACATAAAACTACGTTTTTTCGTCAGTTTGAGCTTCTCGACCGCATTGAGTTGACCGGTATGACGAAGTCGTACATAAAATGTTGTTGCAAAACCCAATTCACATATAATGAACGAAAGCCAACAAACAATGGAAGTTGTTTGCAAATAATAAAATATACATACTTGCAAACAAAAGGTTATGTGATTACATGTAACCAGAGGTCAGCAGATGAAATGAAAAGGCTACTTATATCATTTTCCTTCACTTAACTGATAAAATTAGGTGCACATAAGTTACCCTCCGACGGGGTCAGTGGCTAAGAGGTTAGTGCATCCGCACACTCTCTTGCAACAAAACATCGTTAGTCCCGCACCCATTTAATCCGAAAACAGCCATTTCCAAACGTGTATGTAAACGGATACTATTTGTTTGAAAGGCATTTCTTAGAAGTTGGCGGATGACAAAGTGGACACAATTTATGGATAACGACTTCTTTGTTTTATTGTAATGAATATGGTACAGAATATATACTAGCCACATCAAGAAACTGTGCACGGAGAAAATATAGATGTAAGGGCACACCGTCCACATATGAAATATAGGTTTGAACACAGCAATTATTGGAGACATTCAAACGCTCATGCACGTGCCATGCGATATAACGTCATTGATGGGGGCCTATGGACGTGCAATGTGTTACTGCACGTGCATCCTGTGCAGCTGTACACAGCATGTGCAACTCAAAATTCGCTAGCACTTTGGAAAGCATGATCTGTGGCCATTCAAAAATTCAAAACTTCTCTGGCGCAGACACAAGCATATCACGAGCAAATCATGCTAAGATTGACAGCTGCACAGCGTCATGAAGGCATTGGAATGATCCGAGCGGGAATGAGGCAACAACAGGTGGCAACACATTTCCAATGCCATCGTAACACGATATCGGCATTGGTGAGGCGTTATCAGAACGCAAATAACGTTGCCGACCACCCACGTTCAGGACGTCCCCGAGTAACAACGCCTAGACAGGACAGATGGATTCGAGTTAAACATCTCCGACACATGTTCCAAACGTCAGTAACGACGTCCCAGACAATTCCTGGACTGCGCCGTATCCATCCCAACACTGTCAGGAATCGTTTACGTCAGTACGGGATTCGACCACGACGCCCTGCCATACGTCCCATCCTGACACACCGTCATCGAGTCAACCGTCTAAGATGG